ATCTGGCAGGACGCAAAGGGGGGGGGGGGAGTTGGGACATTCTCTGCCCAGACATTCGACATCTCAGTTGCATCCCCCTCTTTCTGCCCCAAATGGCTCCTATTAGGAGCAGAAGGGTTGCCCAGCGGGGGGTCTGCACACAAGACGGTCTCTAATGCGCATTTCTTTTCTCTCTCCAGAGAAGCCTGATTTGGGGATTACTCCCTGAGATTGCTTCTGTTGTGTGTGTTTCTGTGAGCGTGGCAAGCTTGCTGTGTAGCTTTACGCTTCTCTTATAAGAACTGATGTGGTGGTAGTCATCTTTTGTGGGTAGTCAGCCTCTCCACTCCCAACATCCCTGTTGGCTTGGCACTATAAGAGGGTTTCGCGAGACCAGTCGCTCTCGTTGCTGTGTGGTTCCAAGGCAACAATGTAGTAATGGTGAGGTGGTAGACCATATTTTTGTTCTTGTGGACCACTGGTGGTCCACGGACCACAGGTTGGGAACCACTGGTCAAGAGGAAGAAGGTGTATCAAGCCAACTCTTGTCATGACGCCTTCCATCTGGAAATGTTTGTTTTCACTGTGAAAGTAAGACCATGTGGATTCAGAATAGGTTTCCAACGTCACTTACGGACACACCACCAAGACTCTGCTTCTGGAAGACAACCAGACGCATGGGCCACCAGGGATCGCTGATGATGATGATAATGATGATGACGCTAAGGCGACATCCCATATAATCCTGGCATTTGGAGTTTAAGAAAGGGTATATTTAAAACTCCCTATCAAATACATTCTAGTGCCTCTCCAAACTACAAACCCAACGCAGTTGAAGTAGAAACATAGTGCTATAGTTGCATAGTATGGAAGAGCCCTTGAACTGCACTCCAAGCATCTTTGCTATGGGATTCTCGTGTTTCTCCTTAGATATGATGATGACCCTCATTCTCCTCAGATATGATGATGACCACCATTCTCCTTAGATATGATGATGACCATCATTCTCCTTAGATATGATGATGACCATCATTCTCCTTAGATATGATGATGACCATCATTCTCCTTAGATATGATGATGACCATCATTCTCCTTAGATATGATGATGTCCATCATTCTCCTTAGATATGATGATGTCCATCATTCTCCTTAGATATGACGATGACCATCATTCTCCTTAGATATGATGATGACCATCATTCTCCTTAGATATGATGATGACCATCATTCTCCTTAGATATGATGATGACCATCATTCTCCTTAGATATGATGATGACCATCATTCTCCTTAGATATGATGATGTCCATCATTCTCCTTAGATATGACGATGACCATCATTCTCCTTAGATATGACGATGACCATCATTCTCCTTAGATATGATGATGACCATCATTCTCCTTAGATATGATGATGACTATCATTCTCCTTAGATATGATGATGACCATCATTCTCCTCAGATCTGATGATGACCATCATTCTCCTTAGATATGATGATGACCATCATTCTCCTTAGATATGACAATGACCATCATTCTTCTTAGATATGATGATGACCATCACTCTCCTTAGATATGATGATGACCATCATTCTCCTTAGATATTATGATGACCATCATTCTCCTTAGATCTGATGACCATCATTCTCCTCAGATATGATGATGACCATCATTCTCAGATATGATGATGACCATCATTCTCCTTAGATCTGATGATGACCATCATTCTCCTTAGATCTGATGATGACCATCATTCTCCTTAGATCTGATGATGACCATCATTCTCCTTAGATCTGATGATGACCATTATTCTCCTTAGATCTGATGATGACCATCATTCTCCTTAGATCTGATGATGACCATCATTCTCCTTAGATCTGATGATGACCATTATTCTCTTTAGATCTGATGATGACCATCATTCTCCTTAGATCTGATGATGAACATCATTCTCCTCAGATATGATGATGACCATCATTCTCCTTAGATCTGATGATGACCATCATTCTCCTTAGATCTGATGATGACCATCATTCTCCTTAGATCTGATGATGACCATCATTCTCCTTAGATCTGATGATGACCATTATTCTCCTTAGATCTGATGATGACCATCATTCTCCTTAGATATGACCAGATTTAGAGGAGATTCACTGAAATCAACCAAATCTAAGAGCAACTCGGGAACAAGAATAATTAGCCTCACCTGGCATGTACATTTTATGTTTACTTGTCATCTGCTCAGCTCACCTTTCACAACCTTTACCAGACTTCAATAGGATCTGGTGCTGAAGAAGCCATCAGCTGAAAATGAGATATATTCTGGGCAAAGAGGGTAGCATTGGAAATGTTGACTACTTCTCACCTGGTTTCTCTCTGGAGGACTTCCTTCACCTTGGAAACCAGGCGGACTCTCCTAAGCTTGTTATTGAGCCTGTAGTTGGGAATCTCCCTTGTGTCCCTTCTACAATACTTGGGGGAAGCAACCAAGGTATTTTGCCATTGCTGAAGTGTGCAATGTTTACTTGAGAATCTTCCTGCAGACCTTCCGAACACAAAGAGCCTCAAAAGGAACAAAGGATTTCTGAAGAAACCTGGAGGCATCTCCCATCTCAAGGCTATTCGTCAGGAAATTCTGTGAGTTTTGTGACAATGTTTGTTTGGGAAGACTTAAGTGATCATTCATTTTGCAAAATTAGAGTGTCTTGATCCCACTTTTTAATGGCTATTGTATCTACTATGGTAGTGGTTCCCAACCTTTTTTTTGACCAAGGACCATTGTTGTCTATGATTGTCTTCAAGACTCAAAACCTGGGGAAAGGCACATTGTTCTACCTAAAGATCCCAACCTTTTTTGGACCAGGGACCAGTTGACCAGGGACCACTTTGACCAGGAACCACTTGACCTTACTTAGGCGATCCCTCATTGTCTGAGTAGGATGGTCTTCCAAGGTCAGCGTTCTGGTGGGTCCGTAGGTGACTGTGGAGCCCTATTCTTGATCTGCATCTTCTCCCGTAATGAGGGCATCAAAGTCGGGGTTGGCTTGACACGCCTTCCTCTTGGCACGTTTCTCTCTTTCACCCTCCATTCATACCTCTTCAAATTCTGCAGCACTGCTGGTCACAGCTGACCTCCAGCTGGAGCGCTCAAGGGCCAGGGCTTCCCAGTTCTCAGTGTCTATGCCAGAGTTTTTAAGTTGGCTTTGAGCCTGTCTTTAAATCTCTTTTCCTGTCCACCAACATTTCATTTTCTGTTCTTGAGTTTGGAGTAGAGCAACTGCTTTGGGGGATGGTGGTCGGGCATCCAGCAACATGGCCAGTCCATCGGAGTTGATGGCAGAGGACCATCGCTTCAATGCTAGTAGTCTTTGCTTCTTCCAGAACACTGACGTTTGTCCGCCTGTCTTCCCAAGAGATTTGCAGGATTTTCTTGAGGCAGCGCTGATGGAATCGTTCCAGGAGTTGCATGTGATGTCTGTAGACTGTTCATCTCGCAGGTGTATAGCAGGGTTGGGAGGACAATAGCTTTATAAACAAGCACCTTGGTCTCCCTACGGATGTCCCGGTCCTCAAACACTCTCTGCTTCATTCTGGAAAATGCTGCACTCGCAGAGCTCAGGCGGTGTTGTATTTCAGTGTCAATGTTGACTTTGGTGGAGAGGTGGCTGCCAAGGTAGCGGAAATGGTCAACATTTTCTAATGTTACAACATTAAGCTGTATTTCCGGCATTGAGGAGGGATTGGCTGGTGACTGCTGGAAGAGCACTTTGGTTTTCTCGATGTTCAATGACAGGCTGAGCTTCTCGTATGCTTCTGCAAAGGTATTTAGAGGGAGCTTGTAGATCTTCTTCTGAATACGGGACTACTTTGATCAGGGACCATTCTCCAACATTAATACCAAAAGAGTTACAGCTCAGTTTTTGGTCAACTTTAGATTCAGTTTGGTTATTTGGGGTGCTGATTCAGAAAATTGTGAACTACATCAAGGTTTTCATCACATACGATTAAATATAAATGTTGGCAGCAGTTCCCTCCCATTATAAGGTTGATCTTCTGCTTGTTGTTGTTGCTTATTGGTTCAGTTGCTTCTGACTCTTCGTGACCTCCTGGACCAGGCCAGGCCACAGCTCCCTGTCGGCCATCACCACCCCCAGCTCCTTTTGTCTTTCCTTCCTTCTTTCCTCCCTCCTTCCTTCTCCTTCCCTCCTTCCCTTCCCCCTTTTTCCTTCCCCCTTTCCTTCCTCTTTTTCCCTTCCTCCTCCTTCTTCTTTCCTCCTTCCTTCTTTCCTTCCTTCTCTCTTCCTTCCTTCCTCTTCCTTCTCTCTCCCTCCCTTCCTTCCTTTTTCCCCTTTCCTTCTCTCCTTCCCTCCTTCTTCCTTCCTCCCTCCCTTCCCTTTCCTTCCCTCCTTTTCTCCCTTTTCCTTCCTCCTTCCTCCTCCCTCCTTCTCCTTCCTCCTTCCTTCCTTCCTTTTTTCCTTCCGCCTCTTTCCTCTCTTCTTATCCTTCCTTCCCTTTTGCCTTTCCTTTCTTCTCTTTTCTCCCTCCCTCCCCTCTTTCTCCTTCCCTCCTTCCACCCTTTTTCTCTCTTTCCTCCCTCCCCCCTTTCTTTCCTCTCCTTCCTTTTGTTTTTCCTTCCTCCTTCCTTCCTCCCTCCCTCTTTTGCCTTCCATCCTCCCCTTCTATCTTTTCGTCCTTCCTCCCTTGCCTCTTTCCTCCCTCTCTCCCTCTTTCTCCTTCCTTGGTGACCTCTGGACCAGGTCAGGCCAGAGCTCCTTGTTAGCTGTGGCCACCCCCAGCTCCTTCAAGGTCAATCCAGTCACGTCAAGGATACCATCCACCCACCTTGCCCTTGGTCGGCCCCTCTTCCTTTTTCCTTCCACTTCCCCCAGCATCATTGTCTTCTCCAAGCTTTCCTGTCTTCTCGTGATGTGGCCAAAGGACTTCATCTTTGCCTCTCAAATCCTTCCCTCTGCATGTTTTAGCTAAAATGAGCCTTCTGCTCTCTTGTCTTCTTCTCTAGAAGGATGCCCCACCGGAAGAAGCGCAAAGCCCAGGGCTAGCCCCTTCCCCTCTCGGCCTGGAGCCAGCGGCATGGTCTTGCCCGCGGCCAGCAGCAACATGGAGCTGCAGCCGGACAAAGGGCTTTACGTCCGCAACAACACCGGCGACTGGAGGCTGAGCTACGAAGAGTTTCGGAATCGCAGAAACTCCATCCCACCGACAAAGACGCCCACCGCCAAGCACATGTTGGCGTACCTGCCCCGGCCCCCCACAGAAACAAGCAGTTATGGAACCTTCACCCAGAAGGTGAGAGCCTCGGGGTGCTTTTGGCTAAGGGAGCCCCACAACTCTGCTCTCTTTCTTCTGAGATGTATTGCATATGAAAATCCAGGTCATAGATAAGATAGATAGATAGATAGATAGATAGATAGATAGATAGATAGATAGATAGATAGATAGATAGATAGATAGATATCAGACCTGAATCATATCTCATAGATATAAAAGGGTCTTCTATATGATAATAGAGGGTCCATGACCTTGGCACATATCTCATGGAGATAAGAGGGTCACACTGTGTGTGTAAGTACATGTGTTTGTGTGTGTATACATGTGACCTGAATCATATTTCACATAGATAAGGTAGTTTTACTGTATGTATGTGTAGATAGATAGATAGATGATAGATAGATAGATAGATAGATAGATAGATAGATAGATAGATAGATAGACCGATACACTTGTGGATGCTTGAAACCACAGATGAAATTTAAAGCAGAAAAATGAATAGATCCAACAATAAAATGGTTTGCAATATGTGGTCTTCACCAGTGGTGAGAGCTGAATCCATACAACATCCAGAAATTCCTTGAATGTGTAGACCAGTGGTTCTCAACCTGTGGGCCCCCAGTGTTTTGGCCTACAACTTCCAGAAATCCCAGCCAGTTTACCAGCTGTTAGGATTTCTGGAAGTTGAAGGCCAAAACATCTGGGGATCCACAGGTTGAGAACCACTGGTCTACACATTCAAGGAATTTCTGGATGTTGTATGGATTCAGCCTTGACCATTGTTTAGGAGATCCATCGGATAGCTGGAAGGACAGGTGATGGAGAGCTTCCATATTCAGTCTTTAAGTGGTAAGTGGATTTCCACAAGGGCTAATAAGTTTGTTTCCTTTTTCAGCCTGAAATGATTGCCGTTGCGATGGATCCTTTTGATGAGACCCACCCTGGAATGGAAACCACAACCGCCAAGAGAAGTGCCCTGCAATGCAACTACGTCTCCATGTCCTGCAGTGCGAACATCCCCAACGACAGGTCCGTCCTTCTCCAGAGGAGGATGAGCACAACGAACGGGACCTACAGTACCGTGGTGCCAATGAAGCAACGGCCCAGCGTCTCCATCAACACAGAGGAGCTGCCCAGATACCATCGCTCCTCCCGGACAGATCCACCGCCACCTTCACTGCTGAGGGAATTGAATGCACGGCTTTATCCTCAACACGCTTTCGGTTCGCCCAACATGAACTCCGGGCGGAACAAAACCCCAACCCGCAGCATCATCTCTGCAAACACCTCGGAGAAAGGGCAAAACAAGCGCTGCAAACTCATGGAGGACGACCAGAAGTTCAGTTCAAGCAACAGACAGCAAAGGCAGCGCTACGTAACCAAGGTCGGCAAGTGTCAGGTGAACTTGGGCAACATCCAAGAGAAGAAGAGGTTCTTGTCGGACATCTTTACCACCATTGTGGACCTCAAGTACCGGTGGTTCCTCTTCGTCTTCAGCATGTGCTACATCATCACCTGGGTGGTCTTTGGCATCATATATTACTTTGATTCCTGGATACGGGATGACGTTAACCATATAGGTGACCCCGACTGGAAACCTTGCATCGAGAACCTAGATAATTTTATCTCTGCTTTACTCTTTTCTGTAGAAAGCCAAAGGACGATTGGCTACGGGTCTCGGATTGTGACAGCCAACTGCACGGAAGGGGTCATTTTGCTCATGGCCCAGTCCATCATTGGCTCTATGATCGATGCCCTCATGGTGGGATGCATGTTTGTGAAGATCTCCAGGCCCAAGAAGCGCGCCCAGACCTTAATATTTAGCAAGAAGAGTGTGATCTCCCATCGGGATGACCAACTCTGCTTCATGTTCCGGATCGGGGACCTCCGGGACAGCCACATGGTGGACGCGAAAATCAGGGCCAAGTTGATCAAGTCCCGGCAAACGAAGGAAGGGGAGTTCATCCCTCTGGAGCAGTCGGAACTCAACCTGGGCTACGACACAGGCGAGGACCGCCTCTTCCTGGTGGAGCCGCAGATCATTTGCCACATCATCAACGAACAAAGCCCTTTCTGGGAGATGTCTGCAGAAGCCCTGAAGAGGGAGCAGTTTGAAATCATCATCATCCTTGAAGGCATTGTGGAAGCCACAGGTGGGTGAGAGAGGTGGAGCTGTCACCATGAAAAGTTTGGGTGGACCCTGGCCATTATCTTGGGACCACTTTGGATGACCCTACAAATGTGTCCCATTGCAAATCATCCTGAGGTCATTTTCTGGCGCAAAGGGGCTTGGTGGGTTTTTATTAGGGTTCAAATCCAATTACTACCACTATTAGATATTTAAGAGTTGAGATTATGAGGCTTTTTAAGGCAAAAGGTATGAGTCTGTGCATATAATTCTTACAACTTGCAAGCTGCTGACGATACCCAGCTTTTGGTATGTTTGAGATACCTAGACAAGTCTGTCCTTCCAGTGAAAAATGCCTTCCTTCCAATGAACAATTCAGGCCAGTTCTCAGAGTTGATATTTAGGGACTTCAAGCAAACTCTCTTCTCTGATTTCCATGACAATATATTGTCAGAGGAGGTTTGTCCCTCCCCTTAGTTTAAGATAGTGGTTCTTAACCTGTGGGCCACGGACCACCAGTGGGCTGTGAAGACAAAAATCCAGTCTACGAGCCTCCTTCCTCTTATTTTATTTTATTTCTACTCCTTTCACGCCATCTGCCACTCCTTCCTTGGAATATGTTCTGTATCAGAAAGTAGAGCTGATGTGGTCTATCCAATGCAATTTTCTAAATCAGCATCCCAAACTGAATCTAAAGTTGACCAAACATGGAGAATGATCCCTGGTCAAAATGGTCCCTGCTCAAGTAGTCCTGGTCAAAGTGGTCCCTGGTCAAAATGGTCCCTGGTCAAGTAGTCCTGGTCAAACTGGTTCCTGGTCAAGTGATCCCTGGTCAAGTAGTCCTGGTCAAACTGGTTCCTGGTCAAGTGATCCCTGGTCAAGTAGTCCTGGTCAAAGTGGTTCCTGGTCAAGTGATCCCTGATCAAGTAGTCCTGGTCAAAGTGGTTCCTGGTCACTTGATCCCTGGTCAAAGTGGTCCCTGGTCAAGTAGTCCTGGTCAAAGTAGTTCCTGGTCAAGTGATCCCTGGTTAAAGTGGTCCCTGGTCAAGTAGTCCTGGTCAAAGTGGTTCCTGGTCATGTGATCCCTCGTCAAAGTGGTCCCTGGTTAAGTAGACCTGGTCAAAGTGATCCCTGGTCGAAGTGGTCCCTGGTTAAGTAGACCTGGTCAAAGTGGTCCCTGGTCAAGTGGTTCCTGGTTAAGTGGTCCCTGGTCAAAAAAAGGTTGGGAACCAGTGGTTTCCTAGTATTACCAACACAAGTATTATCATTACATGGCAGAAGAACATAATTCATGTTCTCTTCTGCCACCAAGTCTATGGTGGAAAAGCTGTCCACTTCAGTGGGCAATGTCCTCGATGCAGAACCAAAGCAAAATACAAATGGATCAAGCTCTTCGTCTTAGAAATGGAGATGAGGACCAATCCTCAGAGTCGGACATGACTTACTTACTTAGGTGATCCCTCGTTGTCCGAGTAGGATAGTCTTCCAGGATCAGTGTACTGACGATGGGTCCATAGGTGGCTGTGGAGCCCTATTCTTGACTGTGGCTGTGGAGCCCTATTCTTGAGTTTGGAGTAGAGCAACTGCTTTGGGAGACGGTGGTTGGGCATCCAGACAACATGGCCGGTCCAGCAGAGTTGATGGCGGAGGACTATTGCTTCAGTGCTGGTGGTCTTTTCTTCTTCCAGCATGCTGACATTTGTCCACTTGTCTTCCCAAGAGATTTGCAGGATTTTCTGGAGGCAACGCTAATGGAATCGTTCCAGGGGTTGCATGTGACGTCTGTAGATAGTCCACGTCTCACAGGCGTATAGCAGGGTTGGGAGGACAATAGCTTTATAAACAAGCCCCTTAGTCTCCCTATGGATGTCCTGGTCCTCAAAAACTCTCTGCTTCATTCAGAAGAATTCTGCACTTGCAGAGCTCAGGTGGTGGTATTGTATTTCAGTGTCAATGTTGACTTTTGTGGAGAGGTGGCTGCCAAGAGAGCAGAAATGGTCAGCATTTTCCAATGTGACACCATTAAGATGTATTTCTGGCATTGGAGAGGGATTGGCTGGTGACTGCTGGAAGACCACTTTGGTTTTCTCGATGTTTAATGACAGGCCAAGCTTCTCGTATGCTTCTGCGAAGGTGTTTAGAGTGGCTTGTAGGTCTTCAGAATGCGGGACTACCTTGATCAGGGACCACTCTCCAACATTAATACCAAAAGAGTGACTGTTGGAAGAGCACTTTGGTTTTCTCAGTGTTCAATGACAGGGTCGGACATGACTGGACTTAATGTCAGGGGAAACCTTTACCTTTACCTAGATAGTAGCAAAATGTGATACCTCTACACTCAAGAATTTCTTGTTAACTTTTTTAAAAAAGAACTTTTTGTCTCAGGTGCTATTTCTGTGGTCTGCTGACTCTCTCTTCTTTTCAGGAATGACGTGTCAAGCCCGTACGTCCTACGTGGAGGATGAGATCCTTTGGGGCCACCGCTTTGAGCCCTGCATGAGCTTGGAAAAAGGCGCCTTCCGCGTCGACTACACCAGATTTGAGAAGACCTTCGAAGTCCAGACCCCAGGAATCAGTGCCCGCGAGATGTACGAACAGAAGGAGATGGAGAACCGTGATCAATCCACCCTCAGCTTGTACTGGGATCATCTGGTGCACCCTTGTTTCTCGACAGAACTCAACAACGAATCTCGGCAAGGCGATGGTCCCAGCGAGGCAGGCCTCTCCAGGCTGGGCTTCTCCAACATCACCGAAGAAGAGAGAAGCAACGAGTGCCAGAACCTGGAGGCCAGCGTTTGAAGCAACCACCACCGTTGGCTTCTGCTCAACCATGAAGGTCTTAGTGTTCTTGAGGTCAATGAAGTGGTGCAAGTTGGGTTGATTTCCCCCCCTCTTTGAGCATTTTACTTCCTCATATTGGTGGATGTCTTGAGCTCCTTGCAAAGGTACCAGGAAAGAAGAGCAATCCATGGATTGTCTTGGTTTGTTTGGGATTTATGCGCTCTAGTACTGATGGCTTCAGGTTTCTCTTCCAATCGCTTGCCTCCATCTTTGTGGAGTAATAATAATAATATTGCACTATAGTCATGCGTTTGGGGGCTGGAACCCCTTCTAAAGAGCCATGTGTGGTCAGAAGCCTTGGTTTCTGCAAGTAGAGTTCTGAAGCCCTTTCAGAAGAAAGAGCAGCATCTTCTCCCAACTTTCGCAGGCAGGACCATCGAGACCGAACCTGGGGAGCTTGCACACGTTTGCTTGAATTTCCTTTTCACTTTATTTTGAAATGAATGATGGGAAAAGCTTGGCTGCTTTGCATCGGTGCTCCGGGGTGCAATTACGGAAGTGTCTCCTTGATGTTTCTTACAGTGCCATACTGAACTCTCGGTGGAGGTGGTCCCCATTGCCCTGACCCACTTGGAGTAGCTGGGCCCCTTCTCCTCCTCCTCCTCCTCCTCCTCCTTTTTGCCTCACAGAAGCCTTTTGCTCCTGAACTCATTTTACAGTCCCTTCGCCGTCTTATCTGACAAGTGGAATTACCTTTACCAAGAAGCCGTGCTCTTCCACAACAAGGGTGTGGGGAGAACGGTGGGACGAGGGAATCGACGGATAAATAAAAAGGTTTCTTTTTGAACAACCTCATGGGGCTCCGTGTCCTGGGACGTCATTGCTTTCTGTGTGCATGAGGCGAGTGATCTGAGAATGTGGACATTTTGAGAGAACGATATAAGCAGAGGATGTGGGGAGTGCCTGAAATACCTGGATGCCAAGCAACCCCTGTGGCAAGCGTGTGTAGTATGTTGTTGCACTCCAGAGCAGGAATAACCCTCTGATTTTAAAAAACACCACACGTTGAGTAGGAAAACAATCCTTTTTTTATTGAAGGTAAGTAAAAGCAGCAAAGTAGAAAACCACTTTAAGGGAATACATAAATCCAATTAGGTAAGAAGATAAGCAGGAACAAAATAGTCCATGGTAGGGTTCAGCAAAGTTCAAAAACAAAGTTCAGACTTCTCTAATAAAATCCAAAGAAACAGGGAAATGTATTGTCGGAGGCTTTCATGGCCGGAATCACTGGGTTGTTGTAGGTTTTTCCGAGCTATATGGCCATGTTCTAGAGGCATTCTCTCCTGACGTTTCGCCTGCATCTATGGCAAGCATCCTCAGAGGTCGTGAGATCCTCAGAGGTAGTGACCTCACTACCTCTGAGGATGCTTGCCATAGATGCAGGCCAAATGTCAGGAGAGAATGCCTCTAGAACATGGTCATATAGCCCAAAAAAACCTACAACAAACAGGGAAACGTTGATCCAAGGCATGAATAGATAATCACAATAGTCAAAGAGTCAAACCATACAGCAAGACGTCCTTAAACATGAATCTTCTAAGTAAGGCTTTCATGAGACAAGAGCAAGAACTTAGCAGGAATCTGAAATGATGCTTCGTCTGACTATATTTCCCATTTGTGGAACTTTATATCCTCACATTAAGTCATTCCAAGCACTCAGAAATTGGTTTCGTTTTCCCTGAATGCTTCTCATCCTTATCTGTCGAAGCCTGGCAGAACGCCAAAGGCCTGTTTTGGCTAATTTCCCCCTGCCTGTCTATACGCTCATTAGTCCCTGCAGGTGCCGAGTTGTTTTCAAGCCCCAAATCCTGGGAACTCTCTGGGAGCAATTCAGGGAGTAAACATCCCTATACCCTGTAGGAACATTCTCATGGGAAACTACACTTTGAACCGGCGTCTCTCTGTCATTCTCTGCATTAATATCATTGACGAAACCATTGCCATCTTGACCCTCATTGACATCATTCCTCACATCCAAAGTACTTTGATCTTGAAACACAATCACAGGCTATTTATTTATCGCGTCATCAGCAACCAGACATTTGTATTACATTTTTAACATTTTTAGCAGTCTGTTCAGCGCCTTTCAGGTTGCCCAGTCCTCTATGTGCCCAGGGGGGAGTCTCTCATTTGGTATCAGCCATGGATTGAGGTTCTGGGTTTGAGCCTGCCACTTTTGGACTCTCGCTTGCTGAGGTGTTCCGGCGAGTGTCTCTGTAGATCTTAGAAAACTATTTCTAGATTTAAGTCGTTGACGTGCTGGCTGATACCCAAACAGGGGATGAGCTGGAGATGTCTCTACCTTGCTCCTTTCACTACTGGCTGCCACTTCCCGGCGGATGTCAGGTGGTGCGATACCGGTAGATAGTGTAATTTCTCTAGTGGTGTAGGGCGCAGGCACCCCGTGATAATGCGGCATGTCTCCAACATATATATTATGGGTCAAAGGGATAGCCCTGCTTTGTCGTGGATCTCTTGGAAGCCAAAAACGGTAGCCAAAGTAGCCAATTCAGCCCTGGAAGAGATATTCTTCTATGTTTTCATACATTTTTTATTTTTTTATTTTTTTTGCACAGAGTTGTAGCAACAGCAGTAAGAGCATGGCCACTGAAATGAGAATTCAGTTGAGCTTTTGGAAATAGAGCTTAGGCATTCAAAGGAAAGGGGGCCACCCAGAGAAGGTCAATACGGCAACGGAAGGATTCCAGATGGGGATCAATCTCAATGTCTTCTCTGTTCAGCTCTTATCTGGGTGGAAGACGCCCTCATTTCATCCCAGTCCAATAGCTGTTATCTTGTTTCGCTCCCCAAATTCTGATATCTGAGGAATCCCTGTGAGAATGTATTTCTCCTGTTAATGATCACCAAAATGAGAACTTCATTCCCATGTCAACCAGAGCAGCTAATCTGTTGCCTGTTGAGGAAATGAGGTGCACTTCTGAGAAAATGCTTACTACTCAAAGGACTTACACGAGTAAGTTCAGCCTCTGAGAACTTTTAACAGAGAGACTGACTGCTGAGCAGGTAATTAATAGTTACCTTATTCCATTAGTAGGTCATGCCAGACTCAGACAATGCCTCATCATCACCTCCTAAGCCAACAAATGCATATAGCAACAGCTTAGACCGAGGCTTTCTCTGCCCGACATTGTTCCTATCTGTCAAGACTCTTAGCTGGAATTTGGGGAAACTTTATTCTTTTGCTAAGTCCTATTCAAGTCTGTGAATTTATTTATTTATCGTGTCATCAGCAACCAGACATTTGTATTACATTTTAACAAAAACAAACAAACAGACAAAACACAGAATTTGCAAGTTTGGTAGTTGATTAAATGTCCTTTGACCAGTATCTGGCCACTTGGAGTGCCTCTGGTGTTGCCGCAAGAAGGTCCTCCATGGTGCATGTGGCAGGGCTCAGGTTGCATTGCAGCAGGTGGTCAGTGGTTTGCTCTTCTCCACACTCGCATGTCGTGGGCTCCACTTTGTAGCCCCATTTCTTGAGGTTGGCTCTGCATCTTGTGGTGCCAGAGCGCAGTCTGTTCAGCGCCTTCCATCACCCAGTCCTCTGTATGCCCAGGGGGGAGTCTCTCTTTTGGTATCAGCCACTGATTGAGGTTCTGGGTTTGAGCCTGCCACTTTTGGACTCTCGCTTGCTGAGGTGTACCAGTGAGTGTCTCTGTAGATCTTAGAAAACTATTTCTTGATTTAAGTCGTTGACGTGCTGGCTGACTCTGAAGTGCGGTGCTCAGACACCTCCATAGACACCTCCAAGGTCATGTGGCTAGCATGACTGCATGGAGAACCGTTACCTTCCCGCTGGAGCGGTACCTATTGATCTACTCACATTTGCATGTTTTCAAACTGCTAGGTTGGCAGAAGCTAGGGCTGACAGCAGAAGCTCACGCTGCTCCCCGGAATCGAACCTGCGACCTTTCGGTCAACAAGCTCAGCGCTTTAACCCACTGCGCCACTGGGGGCTCCTAATATGATATTATAATTATATAATTTATATTACGTAGAATCATAGAATCCTAGAGTTGGAAGACATTTGGAAGAACTTCCTGAGTGTGAGAGCTGTTCAACAGTGGAACTTTCTGCTTCAAAGTGTGGTGGAGGCTCCTTCTTTGGAAGCTTTTAAGCAGAGGCTGGATGGCCATCTGTCAGGGGTGATTTGAATGCAATATTCCTGCTTCTTGGCAGAATGGGGGTGGACTGGATGATGGCCCATTGGGTCTCTTCCAACTCTAAGATTCTCCGATTCCACTCTATAGTTCTCTAATACTTTGATCGTACAGACCAGACATGGCAACAGATTGGAGAGGAGTGCCCAAACCACAAATGCGCCAGGTGTTTGGAGACACTTCCGGTGAGCACAACCGGAAGCGGGTCGCTCTAGGGCTGCCTCCTCTATGGCACTTCCGCCCCGGCGAAGTTCCTCCTTCCGGTGGTGCCTTGCGCGCGGAAGAGTGTCTCCTTCCTTCCCGCCCGGATGGCGGCGGCGGTTGAGGCGCCCGCGATGGGCCTGTCGCTGGTGGAGGCCGTGCTCGCCTCCTCGGGCCGCCTCCAGAAGGAGAGCCTCGGAGGGAGGATCGCGCGCCTCTCCGCCAGGGTGGAGGAGCTCAAGGCGAGTGGGCGGGGCTAAGACCCCAAGGGGCGGGGCTAAGGGCCAGCGGGAAGAGTTGAGCCTCTCAGGCACTCAGGGGGCGGGGCCAAGGACCCAGTGGGCGTGGTTAAAGGGAGCGGGCGGGGCTAGAGGGAAGACTTGGGAGCTTCCCAGGCATTCAGTGGGAGGAGCCAAGGACCCGGTGGGCGTGTCTAAAGGGAGCTCTACTCTTGGTAGAGGAACTACTTGGCTAGAGGAACTACTTGGAATCCTTGGTGGGCGGGGCTAGAAGGACGAATTGGACATTCAGTGGGAGGAGCCAAGGACCCAGTGGGCGTGTCCAAAGGGAGCTCTACTCTTGGTGGGCGGGGCTAGAGGAACGAATTGGAAGCCTTGGTGGGCGGGGCTAGAGGAACGAATTAGGCATTCAGGGGGAGGAGCTAAGGACCGTAATGGGCGTGTTCAAACATCTAAACGCTTTGTGGGCGTGGCTAAAGGGAAACATTGAGAGTCTCCCAGCGACGCAGGGGAGGAGCCTAGGACCCAGTGGGCGTGTCTAAAGGGAGATCAGCGCTTGGTGGGCGGGGTTAGGGGGCCGAATGGGAAGGCTCCCAGGCATTGAGGGGGAGGAGCCTAGGACCCAGTGGGCGTGTCTAAAGGCAGATCAGCGCTTCGTGGGCGGGGTTAGGAGGACGAATGGGAAGGCTCCCAGGCATTGAGGGGAGGAGCCAAGATCCCAGTGGGCGTGGCTAGAGGGAAGACTTGGGAGCCTCCCAGGCATTCAGGGGGAGGAGCCTAGGACCCAGTGGGCGTGTCTAGAGAGAAGACTTGGGCGTATCTAAAGGGTGATCAGCGCTTGGTGGGCGTGGTTAGGGGGCGAATGGGAAGGCTGCCAGTCATACCAGGGGAGGAGCCAAGGTCCCAGTGGGCGTGGCTAGAGGGAAGACTTGGGAGCCTCCCAGGCATTGAGAGGGAGGAGCCAAGGACCCAGTGGGCGTGACTAGAGGGAAGACGGATCCTCCCAGGCATTCAGGGGAGGAGTCAAGGACTGAGTGGGCGTGGCTAGAGGGAAGACTTGGGCGTGTCTCAAGGGAGCTCAACGCTTGGTGGGCGGGGCTAGAGGAACGAATTGGAAGCATCCCTCCATATGTTCAGTGGGAGGAGCCAAGGACCGTAGTGGGCGTGTACAAACAGCCAAAGGATTGGGTTGTTGTAGGTTTTTCCAGGCTATATGGCCATGTTCTAGAGGCATTCTCTCCTGACGTTTCGCCTGCATCTATGGCAAGCATCCTCAGAGGTAGTGAGGTCTGTTGGAAGTAGGAAAAATGGGTTTATATATCTGTGGAATGACCAGGGTGGGACAAAGGACTCTTGTCTGCTGGGGCTAGGTGTGAATGTTTCAGCTGATCACCTTGATTAGCATTCAATGGCTTGGAAGCGCCTGGGGGAATCTTTTGTTGAGAGTGATTTCATGTGCCTGTTTGTTTCCCCTCTGTTGTTTTGCTGATGTAATGACCCTGGTCATTCCACAGATATATAAACCCATTTTCCTACTTCCAACAGACCTCACTACCTCTGAGGATGCTTGCCATAGATGCAGGCGAAACGTCAGGAGAAATGCCTCTAGAACATGGCCATATAGCCCGAAAAAACCTACAACAACCCAGTGATCCCGGCCCTTCAACAATACAGCTAAAGGATTAGTGGGCGTGGCTAGAGGGAAGTCTTGGGAGCCTCCCAGGCATTCATGGGGAGGAGCCAAGGACCCAGTGGGCGTGGCTAGAGTGAAGGCTCGGAAGCCTCCCAGGCATTCAGTGGGAGGAGCCAAAGAGCGACTGGGTGTCTCTAAAGGAAGCACAGCACTTGGTGGGGGTGGTTTAAGGTACGAATTGGAAGGTTCTCAGGCATTCCAGGGGAGGAGCCAAGGGCCAAGTGGCCGTGTCTAAAGCTTTCTCAGCGTTCGGTGGGCGTGGCTACAGGGACAAATTGGAAGCCTCAGAGACACTCACTGGGAGGAGCCAAAGACCTAGTGGGCATGACTATGCATCTAAACACTTAGTGGGCATGGCTAGGGGAAATAATTGGGACCCCCCTCCCAGGCATTCAAGGGAAGAGCCAAGTTCCTAGTGGGCGTGGCTAAAGGGATCTCAGCGCTTGGTGGGCGTGGCTAGAGGGAAGACTTGGGAGCCTCCCAGGCATTGAGTGGGAGGAGCCAAGTTCCTAGTGGGCGTGGCTAAAGGGATCTCAGCGCTTGGTGGGCGTGGCTAGAGGGAAGACTTGGGAGCCTCCCAGGCATTGAGTGGGAGGAGCCAAGTTCCTAGTGGGCGTGGCTAAAGGGATCTCAGCGCTTGGTGGGCGTGGCTAGAGGGAAGACTTGGGAGCCTCCCAGGCATTGAGTGGGAGGAGCCAAGTTCCTAGTGGGCGTGGCTAAAGGGATCTCAGCGCTTGGTGGGCGTGGCTAGAGGGAAGACTTGGGAGCCTCCCAGGCATTGAGTGGGAGGAGCCAAGTTCCTAGTGGGCGTGGCTAAAGGGATCTCAGCGCTTGGTGGGCGTGGCTAGAGGGAAGACTTGGGAGCCTCCCAGGCATTGAGTGGGAGGAGCCAAGTTCCTAGTGGGCGTGTCTAAAAAGAGCTAAGTGCTTGGTGGGTGTGGTTGGAGGGAAAAATGGGAAGTCTCCCATGCATTCAGTGGGAGGCGCCAAGTTCTTAGTGGGCGTGCCTAAACAGCTTCTCTCTCTCCTCTTTCTCTTTCCTCTCTTACAACAATCCTATTTTTTTCTTTCTCCCAACCTTTCTCTCCTCTCTCTCCTCTCTCTCTCCTCTTTATCTCTCTCTCCTCCTCTCTCTTCTCATTCTCTTTCTCTCTCTGTCCTTTCCCCCTCTCTCCTCTCTCTTTGTACTCTCCCTATCCTCTCTCTCAAAACAACCTTTTATTCGTTCTCCCAATCTTTCTCTCTGAGCTAAGTGCTTGGTGGGTGTGGTTGGAGGGAAAAATGGGAAGTCTCCCATGCATTCAGTGGGAGGCGCCAAGTTCTTAGTGGGCGTGCCTAAACAGCTAAATACTCGGTGGGCGTGGTTAGAGGGAAGACTTGGGAGCCTCCCAGATATTCAGTGGGAGGAGTCAAGGACCCAGTGGGCGTGTCTCAAAGTGTCAAGAGCCTGGTGAGCATTTAGTGGGAGGAGTAGAGACTCCAAGGGGAGGAGCTTAGCATTTGGGGGCGTGTCCATGCCTTCTATTTGTGCCAAATTAGGAGAGATGGGTTTGAATGTGATGGGCCTCTCAACTCACAAACTCCCAGGATTCCCTAACCTAGAGCCAAGGCAGTCCAAGCAGAGGCCAAACTGGGTTATTTCCACAGTGTGGACGCAACCCTTGGGCAGGATGTGCTTGGGATCTGGATGACGCGAGGAGGCTTGCTGTCCCTGCTTGGTGGCAACCCTTTTGGGTCTCTTTCCAGGGGGAGGTGTGCAGCCTGATCAGCCAGCGGTACGTGGAGTTCCTTCCCAGCATGCAAAGCGCCGTGGATTTGGAGTCCGAAGTGCAGGAGCTGACCGGGAGCATTGACCGGCTGAAGATGCAGATCGAGAACGAGGTCAGGACCTCCTCCTCGCGTCAGAGTCAAGCCATGGCCCTTTGTCCTTGCAAATTTAGGCCACCAAAATGAGGGGAAAATTGATGACATTGACCTCAGTTGGAGTGTTGTGTCGTTTCCAGGCTGTGTGGTTGTGTTCTCGCAGCATTTTCTCCT